TGAATTGAATAAAATGTGTTGATATGAACTGAACAATACCAAAACTGTGAATGTCTGAAATGAACACTGTGTGCATGATATCAAATGATTTGATTATGAATTTAGATTCAGTTTATATGGATGTTCGACGCATTAGATATGCTTACTCAGCTTTACCGCTGAGCGTGTAGTGTGTTTTATTTGCTACACGCAGGTACAACAGAAAGAACGCTGTGATCCTGGCAGCAGATGGGGCGAGATTGTCGGGATGGATGTGACAAGTTTGAAATGATTTATGATATGTCAAAATTAAATTCGCTTCCGCAATATTGTTAAATACTCCGTACTGTATATGTTATGAAAAATTATTGGGATTAATAAAGTGTGTTTGAAAAGTTTTAAATTTTTACGATTACCAAGTTAAATACTTTAGTCCGAATAGGGATGCAGACCTGGATGGATTAGGGTGTTATAGTATTTATATCTGAGCATATCCCAAAATGCTGTAATTTCTATTTTGATAAGGAATGCAGACGGCCAGAGGCATATTTACTATGTGAGCAAAGCGCTCAACGGGGCTGAAAGCCGGTACACACCAATTGAGAAGACGGCCTATGCACTTTTCATCACAGCCAAAAAATTGAACGCCTATTTCCAAGCCCATGCGGTGGAAGTACTGACCGACCAGCCACTCAGACCGGTCTTGTATAGTTCCACATCCTCGGGGAGAATGATAAAGTAGGCAATGATGCTCACCCAATTCAAGATCGATTACAAACCCCGACCTGTAACAAAGGGACCAGCCTTGGTAGACTTCCTAGTTGAACTGACCGGTCTGGAACCCGAAGCAGGACCATCCCAAATAGTCAAACCGTGGTGGGATATGGTCGTGGACGGAGCTTCCGGGCCGAAGGGCTGTGGGGCTGGAATCGTCTTCACTACCCCAGAAGGATCCAAAGTATACCATTCATTGGTATACAACTTCAAACTCACCAACAATGAGGAAGAGTACGAGGCCCTTGCCGGTGGACTCGGGTTGGCCCGGGCACTTAGTATCAAAAGAATGAGCAGCCGGTCGGACTCAAGCCTGGTCGTGGGACAGGCTAACGGGGTGATGGAGGTCAAGGAAGAACGACTCGCCCAGTACAGTGACTTGGTACGAGCTCTACTAAGGGAAATAGAGAAATTCCGACTTACCTGGATCCCCCGGTCAGAAAATTCTGATGCAAACATGCTCTCTAATTTAATGCAATCTTGCCCGGAGTGTGTGTTGAAGTTGGCAAAGATTGAGGTCCTTGATTAACCAAGTGTTGAGCGACTGGACATAGCGATCATCTAGGGAGACCGGTACCAACTGGTCGAAACGATCAAGGTAGACGAATTCTGGAGGACAGACCTTATGGAATATCTAATGACCGGTGAGAAGCCGGATGATAACGAAAGGGAAAGAAAAGTAGTGGTGCGAGCTCCCCGGGTCCAAGTCCTAGACGACCATCTTTACAAACGCGCTTTCAGGGGACCTTTGCTGCGATGCTTAACCAACCCGGAGGTTGAGCGGCGATAGCGGAGGTCCACGAAGGTGTTTGCGCCGCCCACCAGATGTCCCGAACTCTAGACCAGAGGATTATTTTGCTAGGCTATTACTGGCCGACCATTGTTCAAGACTGCGAAAGGTATGTACTTCGTGTAGGACGTGCAAGGTCTTCTACAAGCACCCGGGCCGGCCGGCCACATACTACCAACCGACATCCAACGTTATACCTTTCGCCCAGTTTGGAATAGACATTATTGGGGCATTTCCGGTAGCGTAGAGTGGTAAGAAATTCGTTATGGTAGCCATAGACTGTTTCACTAAGTGGGTAGAAGCAGAAGCGATGACAACCATAACCGCCCTACAGTCCCCTGTAATTTGATTATGAGACATATGGATCATTTATTTCTAAGGTTTACAATGTTTTTTGTAGCCCGAAGTAATAATCATGATATGATCACATTTTGACTTAAATTTTGGCTAAAATGGATTTTACAAATATACAGTGTACTTTTCATTTCAAAAAAATTTGGGTAGTCTTGAGAAGCCAGAAGACCCCAATGTTTTGAAGGTACTCTTTCTCCACATTTTATTTACTTTACAAGCTTTAAAAATACTTCAAAAAATTTTGAGCATGATTTCTTTTTATTCCAAAATAAATATAGAACTAATATCTAATATTTATAATCTAATATGCAACATTTTTATATTTTTCAATCATTTAAATAAACTATATATACATTTTAAAATGTCAAGAGTATATAAGAACACACTATCTAATATGTAGATTTTTGAAAATATGAGTATTGTCTTATTATTTAAGTGTTTGTAGATATTCATAAATTTTTTTTAACAATAATGAAAATAATAGGGTAAAAAAACAAAGTGTGAAATAGTATATGCACAATTATATTAAAAAGTAGATAGAGAAGTAAAAAACACAAATTAAAATGCTTTTATAACTAAAAATACCTAATAATATAATATAAAATATTAATTTTTTTAAATTAACATTGACCGGGTCCTTGACCCTCGAGTTTACCGGTTCGACCGGTTAGCTTCCCTCGTCTGGGTTAATGTCTGGTCCTATTTTTAGAACATTGGTACAGAGTAGTAGTTTTGACTTTGAGATTAAAAAGTGTGGAAAATCTCATTTCATTTTTAAAACCCTTTTTGTACAGAAGCTTCAATCAGTATGGAAAGGGCGTTTTGGTGATGAAGTAGACGCACACCCCTTGAATGTTGTTTCTGTTGAGCAATTAACTCATATTTAAAAGATTTTAAGTTTAAATTCCTATTTTGATGATATGTCATATGTTTTACTTTTAGTTTGATCTTTCTCCTGATATTTATTTATTTTTCCTCCACTTTTTTTCCACTCCGTATGGAGAAAAAGTTAGTACACTAAGAACATGTTCTTTATGATTGGAAAAAAGAGCTGGATATTGGAAGAAATTGGAAAAAACTAGAAAAAACTGGAAAGAACTGGAAGAACTGGAAGAAACTGGAAGAAACTAGAAAAAAATGGAAAAACTGTAAAAAACTAGAAGCAACTAGAAAAACATCAAAAAATTGAAAAACCTAAAAAAAGTTTTAAAAAATTTATTTTAAATTCTTGTTGTTATAAATTATTATTATTATTATTATTATTATTATTATTATTATTATTATTATTATTATTATTATTTTATTATATTTATTATTATTATCTTTATTATTATTATTATATCATCATCATCATCATCATCACGGTATCTTAATGAATGCCTTTAAGATACAAAAAAAGTATTGTTAATTTTCAAATACAAAAAACTACTTTCGCAAAAAAATAATTATAATATAAAGTTAGCATAATTATAAAAAAATTAAATTTTAAAAAGTTTTTGTGGTTACGTTGCACCTCAATTTATTTATGTAGTATTTATTATAAATAATATATTTATAATTATACTTTATATATTACAAGATTTTGTTTTAAACATCAGACATGTCACATAATGTAATCAAACCTATTTTTTCTTTCATGATTGACATTTCATTTTCATTGAAGTCCTACTTTTGGAATAAAGATATAGAACTTTTTTTTAACATTTTTTATATTTTACTCCTATTTTAGTCTTTTTCTCTAAACTATTTTGACTTACAATTTTTTTATAAAAATAAGAAAATTTTAAGTAATAAAGGGAAAAGTGAGAAGTATTATATAAAGTTAGATTAATAAAACATTCTATGTCATTGTTTTATCCAAAATTTTTTAATATAGTTTAACATATTGACGTCTTCGTGTTTTATCATGTAGATTAATATACAAAAAATTATCTTATTTATATTAAAAAGTTGAAGAAAAAATAATGAGTGCGAATCGTAAAAATAGTGAGATAAAAAGAATTATTTATAAACTCTAGTTATTAACATAACAATTGTAATAATAATAATAATAATCACATTAAAAATATATCGTTTTTAAAGTAATTGGTTGGGGAGTAGAAAGAGTTTGAAGAATATCAGAAAAGTTGGTAGAAACTGAAAAGAATTGGAAAAAACTGGAAGGAACTGGGAAAAACTGAAAGGAACTGGAAGAAATGAAAGAAACTGGAAATTAAGAGTTCAAGCCCTAAATAACAGGCTCTAACTACTCTTCTTTTTTTACTCCATGTTTATGTTTTTTTTTTGCTCTATTTCCCTTCCTCCCTATTACATCCAAACAAGAGGAAGGAAAATATTTATATATTCTTCTCTCCAATTTTCACTCTTTATTTTTCTTCCTCCCTAAGATTTTATCCAAATAGGGGGTAAATTCCCATAAAGAAGTGAGATCTTTCAGATTGAAATCAAAAGTAGATCTTTGTATAAATTGATTAATAGTAAAAGACAATGAAGTAAGGTATATTTAGTATTTTTCATTATCTAAAGTATAAGCAAGTTTTCAAAATATTCTTTTTTTAATTAGGTATTTTTCCAACTCACCCCTTTGGGGTTATAAATTGTATTGACACCAATTTTCGGAAGATTATCGTGCAAAAAATTTCAATTATAAAGTATCATCTAGGCAACTATTGTTTATTGAGAAATATCGTAAAAAAATATTTCAATTATGAAATATCATATTCGTATTTATTCCTTATTGAGACCGAGAATATAGCTTATTAGAAAAGACTATTTTGAAAATTCACTTTTTTTTTAAATTAAATTATACCATTATTTAAAATTTAAGTATGGTATTTTGTTAAAAGTTCAATTTGTAGTCTAGATATTGATATTGCATGAAAATAATGTTCTAAGAAATGTTTTTGAACTACTAGTTCGACCACTTGAAGCATTGAACCACCAGTTCGACTTGTGAACTTATGAACCAACGCCTTGACCGGTTTGATCCCCGGTCTGGTTTTGAACACTCTAGTTTTAACCAACTCATTACCATTTCCAATAATCGGTTACTACTTCTCAGCAATGTAATACTATTCCTCAAGTAATTTGTCAATTCTTAAACCAAACAGCCCCTAAGGACACTTAAATTCATGGATCTCAAAACAAATACTCAAACGCTTGAATCTGTGGACGAGAAAAGCTCGAGCCATGAAGAAGAGAAAGGCGCGCAATTGGCGACATTGATCTGTATCAGTATTTCTGCAGCATTCTTGAAACCGAACTGTAAGTTCCAACGGCACAGCAGACTATGCCCAATATTACAATTGCAATGCTAATCTTGACCTGAACATGGATGGTTAATTATCACAAAACATTAGAATCTAAAATTTTGTTGGTTTTGTGGGGGCAGTGAGATGTTTGCATGCAACCTATTTACTACAATTTTACCTGTCTGTTAGTTGCCTTGTCGCCTACAATTTTCAAGAAACACAATGATGGCATTATAACAGCCTGCAGCAAAACCAGATTATATGAGTGTTAAGTTTGTTTACACAATAAGATTCGTAAAAACATTGTTCTTTTGTGTTTATACATGTTTATGCACGCGGAGATTGGAAAGAATAAGACCACTAGTTCATAACTCAGTTTATGTTTGGAATGACACTTCATCTAGACTGTGGCTGAATTATTGTACTAATTCAATATACCATCAAATACACGAAAAGCTACCTCGTTTTTATTTTCACTCAAACAATATCTTTTTAGTTATTAAATTTATATATTTTTAAGTCATTTTACATTTCTCATATATCATTTCATCTAATTTTGTCAAACATGTCTATTCATTTCATCTAGCACTCCATGTACATTCATTACATCTACCCTCATTTCATTTTTATCTTTGATCTAGTTGTCCCGAACAAAGACTAACACTATGTTTGGTTCGTGTAATTCGAAAGGAAAAGAAAAGAAAGTTCTCTCCTTTTCCGCACCTAAAATGAATGAATGTGGTTTTCTTTTTTTCAGTTCATTTCTACTCCAATTTTCTTTTCCTTCCGCTTTTCTTTTCTTTTACTCTCTAACCAAATAGAAAAATTATTTTTTCCTCATTTTCTTTTCTTTCCCTTTCAAATTCCTTGAACCAAACATGGTATAAGTCTTTAGCAAATAGAAAAATATGTGGGAGAATTAAATACACAATAAACTAGTGTACCACGAAACGCCATGCACCATTAATAAAGACCCTTTCCAGGTTCGAGGAATGATTATTTAGGTCTTTCTCCTTTCTCTCTCACGGCCTCATGCAAGAATGTGTTACAAGAAAGTTTTTTTTATCAATGCATAAGGATGGTGTACTTACCATAAGTACACTACAAAGAGAACCAACAAGAGCCATCATCGTACCTGCATGTGAATGCGTCCCATAGATGTTCCTTAAATTAGGAATCAAGTTAAAATGAACAAAAACACAGGATTCTTACCATACTAACATCTGATTCTTCTAAGTTTAATGAAATGTGAGAGCCAAACACAAATAGTTGAATGTATGAACCAATTTTATGTAGCTGGGTCTTCTGGTATGACCCGGCCTTTTTTTATTAATAAAATCATTATCCTTGAATAAAACAGAAAAAAAAGACCTTCAAACCCCCTGTGTACCATTCTTTCAGAAATAAGACAAGGGAAATGCTTTTATTAGGAAAAAAGAATGTTTGAACAAACCAAAAGTACTAATTTGATTTTGAAATAGGCAGACAGAACTAGTACATCATCAAGTTACTTTGCAAAATTGTAAGGTATAACCTTGCTGCATTACTTTCTATCTTCAAGAAAATTTATCACACGGGTAGATATTACTGATTAGGCAACAAGAGGTTCATAGGGAGCATAAGTCACAAGTTTGATAATATAGGGAAGATGAAGAAGAAACCACGATATTACTTACTAAAAAAGGGCACCAAGAAAGCCACAAAAAGGGTAGAGATTGCTAGGATAGTCCTTAGCAGAATGAAACACCAAAAGCTACCAGACAAACCATGAGGCAGCAGTTCTTCTATGCTCCGAGCACATGGATTCATTAATAAAGCATATTTGGGAAGCATTAAGGAGTTGAACTGAGTAATTAAGCAACCGTGTACAAAAACAACCATGAGTTTAGTGGATTTACTAAAGGTAAGGATATTTGAAGAGTGGGAGCATAACCTGCATAAAGTGATCATCGCAGTATTAGATAATTAATAGTATTGAACTAACTCTTGGAACTCAGAAAGAAGGAAAAGTAGAAGAGAAGACAAAAGCAAAATAGTACACACTGTTGTCCAAACTGCAACTTTAGAAAGAACTGAATGGTTAGGCATGTTCAGAGTAATCTGTGACAGTGTATCTGGACCGAACATCATAAATCCCATGACTGCAGCTCCACCATACATAAGAACACACAAACTAAAACTGCACAAT